ATGCTCCAGAAAGGAAAACACCAGAATAAACTGATCACTGGAGGAGAATTAGATGCTGGATAGAGAATCCTTGTCCTCCAAAGGAAAGTATGTCCTTATTGTTCTCTCATTTGCACTTTTAATTTAGAATATCAAAAATGATTGCACCCGCCTCTCTTAATAACCAGGATGTGGAATCTCTCTCTTTTGTTTCTTCTTTCTTTTTTGGATTGAACCCAGGGGCGCATTACCATTTTGTCACATCCTCACATCATCGGATTCTTTTTTTATTTTTTTATTTTGAGACAGGTTGTCAGTAAGTTGCTCAGGGCCTCACTGAGCTGCTGAATCTGAATTCGAGATCTTCCTGCCTCAGCCCCTGGAGCACCCCTGCATCCTGCCAGAGTCTTTCTTCCAGCGCACAATTGCATTTTAGATCCTTGATGTCAGTGACCTTCTGTTGAATCTTCCTAAACTAAACTTCCACTTTACACAGCTCTAAGAGGAGGAATTCCAGATTCTTCAGTTAACACAATACTCTATCACCTCTTTGAACATGAGAGTCTCTCTATTCACCTTGTTTATGTACAATTTGGACTTTCACCTCCCCTGTTTATTTACTTTACCCCAAGCATCCTGAACTGCACTTGGCCTCTTCCCTTCTTCTACTTTCTCGAGAAGACTCCTTTATCAGGTGAACATTTTTTGGTCTTTTTCTTCTTCTTTTTCTAGAGTCAGTTTTATTTTCTCTTCCTCTCTTCCTGGCCCCATGCACATGTGCATTCCTGGAAATAGAGTTGCATCCTAGGGAAACTAGAACAGATCCTTTTCTTCCTCTCTTTGTGCCTACCTCTGGGGGAAATGGAAAATACACCCAGAATGTCACCCATGGAGCCAACATGAAGAGTCGTTCATGCAATCATTACTGGGACTGTGTCAGGGACCTCAAATCTCCACCATCTCATTCTGTTTTAAGCATGTTTAAGACCTCTGTTAGCCAGGAGCAGTGGCTCATGCCTTTAATTCCAGCAGTCAGAGAGGCTGAGGCAGGAGGATCTCTGATTCAAAGCCAGCCTCAGAAACTTAGTGTGACCCATCTCAAAATAAAAAAAATAAAGGGGCTGGGAGTGTTGCTCAATGGTTAAGCACCCCTGGATTCAATCCGCAGTACCTCCCCCCAAAAACAAGCCCTCTGGCCTTCTGGGAGTTGATGCCACTTTTCTCCCCTGCCATTTTGTTTGTGACTGGATTGCAGGGCTACCAGAATCCTAAGAGAGATCCTTGAATGAGGACAGGGCTTCTGAAAGCTCATCCCTGTAGGCTGCAAATGAACAGAGCGGGAAGGTGTTCTTGGGTTGTTACTCCCACACTCAATCACACCTCAAAGACTTATTCACCAAAGTATTTTTCATTATTTTAGATATTTTCTTCTTAATTCAAGAGACCTTTTGGTAACAGGGAGGGTGTTGGTGTGCATGGATTTAAATAACTTTTTTAAAACTAAAGAATCTTAATATTATTGAAAGAGAAATGACAGTCGAAATGAGAGTCGGGCAACGGGCGAGAGTGCAGGAAGACAAGGCAGGGGCGGACCCACGGGGGCAATTGAGATGGACCTCCGTGCAGGTCCCAGGAGCCTCTGCAGGTAGGAGCACCCTAAACACAGCCTGAGCAGAGCCAGAGGGCTGCGGCACGCGCACATTTTCCTTGGCAAGATGAGCCGTGCATTTCTTGAAGGCAGGAAAAGCATCTTTCATCCTCTCCTTCTCAGACGGAGCACATCCAGGGAGCCCAGTGGGTTGTGATTAATGAAAAAGCCACTTGCTTGGTTTATGAAAGGGCAAATAATGGATGAATGAGGGTGAGGAAAGCCACTTACAAAGGCCTCGGCAGTGTGACTCCGGTTTTGTCACTTGTGAGTGAGGGACCTGTGATTACTATAACCCCTGGTAGGTCCATGACATCTAAAAGTCATCCGACGTGACAGCTGTTGCTGGGATAAGGAGTGCTTGAAACAATCAGTTTTCTGATTCTTCCTTCAAAGTCATCCTGTTCTTCCATGAACCCTTCACATGACACCTGTGGTCTCCTGCGGTGAAACCCCAGGAGGGTTGGAAGTGGGGCCAGGTCCTGGGACTCTTCTCCATCTGAGGAGTCTGTCCTGAGGTGGGAGTGGGTGCCACTGCTGTGTCACCAGCCAGGTGCTGCCTCTGCTGGGGCTGGCCACTGGTGAGTTACCCAGGGGAAAATGGAGAGCCTGGCTCTGCCTGGCCCCTCATGATGGCACCCTCCTGAGCCTGGCCGGTTCTTCCCCGAGTCCCTAGGACTCTTAGGAAAGGACATGGAATAGTTTTCAGAGGAGCTGACGCCAGAATCTGGCATAGAAACCCCACTTCTCAGGCCCAGAGCTGTAGCTACCTCCATCATTTTCTTCTTTATGACTCTCGCCGGGACTTTGTGTTTCGTTTTGTTTGGGGCAGTGCTGGGGATAGAACCCAGGGCCTCACGCAGGCTAGGCAAGGCCCTACCACCAGCCACATGGCCAGTCCCTAAAGGAGCCCCCTTCCTATCTGGGTCTTGGACCACCTCTGTCTAGCAGAGTAAGGAGCACAACGTGACATCTTCCGTGGCCCTTGGCGGTCCCTGCCTGGTGATGCGATTTCTCGGGAGAGAAGGACTCATCCCTCTTTCTCTTCCCGCAGGCAGTTTGTTCAGACCAACAAGCTGGGGAATGGGAAATGGAGCCCTCACACGGCAGAGCAGGAGGACACCGTTTGATGAATAAATAATTGCTGAATGAATCAGAGAGTGGAGAACAGGTCAGAGACTCAAGGAAACCATCATGGGATGAGCAAAGGAAAGGTCTAGACAGGTCCCTGATGATAGAAGAGAGGAGGAACAAGTGTGGGGTGCAGGACAGACCCCTGGAGATTGTTTAGGAATCCAGCGACCCTACGTTTGAAGGCTGGCTTAACTTCTTATTAGCTGTGTAGACATCTCAATCAACTTCATTGAGCACGTGTCTACCTTTAATATAGAGCTGATGCCTGCCTTGTTGTTGGAGAATTACCTGCACCATCCCATCATTCCGTCCAAGAAACAACAACAACAACAACAGCAAAAACAAAACCACCTATCAAAGTTAGGTAAATATTTGCCAGGGTTCCTGACAGATACCAGGTTCTCAAAATGATGTATTTTCCTTTTGCTTGAGACCTTGGGTTCTTTCTAGGTACCATGAAGTTACCCTCCACTTTAATATTTAATACAGACATCACTCTCCCGGCAAAGGAAGAGTCTGGCCATGGGAATCTGGATTTTCTTGCTGATCTCAATGCCATGTCACTGCTCCGGGCACAGACCTGTCCCCAGAAGCCAGCTTCCCCATGCCATGCCTGAGCTCTGCCATCCGGGTGGCTTTGGGGAAAACTGTGCCTGTGCAGTGGTTTGGAGCCAGTTAGCGTCAGCTGGCATTTGCAAATGACATTTAAAGGTCACCTCCAATTCTCCTGCTGGGGAAAAGGGGAGGGAAGGTGCAGCAGAGAATGTGGACTTGGGTTGAATCTAATGAGCTTGGGCAAGAAGCTGGGAGGCTGTGAAGAGGGGCACACAGCAGGAGGGCTTTCCTCAGCCTCAGTTGCTGCAGAAGCTCAGGGACCCAGCCATGTCCAGAAAGAGTAGGAAGGATGCAGTCAGGTCTGAGAAGAGGGCAGTTCTTGATCTTGGTGGTGTCACCTTGACCAGCATGGGGACATTCAAGTCCTGGCATTGGTGTCCTCTAAGAAGCGTGGTCAAGGGAGGAAAAAGTCAGTGGAAAATGCATGGGGAAAATACCTCTGAGTCCTCTCTTACAACTCCTGTATTCTTCCCAAGGGACAAGTCCACCAGATGGCCAGTGAGGTTCATTGAGCATATTCTCTGAACCAGCAATTAGGACACATTATCATAAAATCGGACCAGCCGACACTCTGTCACGTAGCAGAGAGATAATGGACATTCTATTTAAAATGGAGGCCACCTTGGAAAATAGGAGACACTTGGAACCCATGTAAGTAGGTGACTGGGAACAGAGTATTGCTGTTTGCAGTCAAAGGAGACAGTGCTCCTGATGGAAGCCAAAAGGGCACCGCGTTGATCGTGCACTGGGCGAGCTCTGATGATGGTCACAGTGGTTAATGCATGTCCTGCTGTCAGCCCTGCCAGATGTTATCTGCTCATTAGCTTCTGCTTTCCTCCCAGAGTCTGGGCTCTTCACTCCCCTGCCACTCCCCTTCCCTCCTTGCTCCCACAGTGAGCCCCGCGCTGCTCCATCCCTACCATGCCACAGGAGCTTGTCCCTGGCTAAGGCTGTCTAACTGCAGCCGCCCTCTATCTCACATCCCATCTGGCTGGATATTAATCTCAACTGGGTTCCGATGTGAGGCACCGTAGCGATGAAATGACAATACCTCTGTCATGGGGAAGGCATTGATGGTGTGGTTCTCTGGTAGAAGACCTGTGTCTTGCAATCCTTGGGAAGAAGGTCATGGGAAGTGGCTTACTTTTCATCTTTTATATAAAGCCGATCCATTTTCAACCCCCGGGACACCATATAAACCCAAACAAATGTTGAATATCAAAAAAATAAAACACTACTAATACTTTCCAGCCTCTCCTCCCCTTCTAAGCTGCCGGTGCTTAGCAGGGAGTCCTGCAGGGAGGAAGCTCTCTCTGCAGGTTTAAGCAATGCTCGGAAACAGGCCGCCAGCTAGGTGGGCTGATCCCTGGGACCCCTCTTGCCTTCTGCCTTTGAGTCCCCTCTTCTCCCTTCCTGCTGCACCGTTTCTGTTTCTGTGGGTGAGGACTGTCCGAGGTGCCTTCAGGAATCCCCTGATAAAATGCAAGCCCCCTGGGGAGGGGCTAAACTGCACTAAGCTCAAAGCACATTAAGCTGCTGTCAGTTTCAGCTGGGACATTTTAGCGGGGATTAATTTATCAGGCCTCTTTCAGATGTGACACCTAGTTGAGAGGGATTTGGATTTAGGAGAGAAGGAGTTTGACGGCAGGAAACAGAAGGAGAGACAGACAGGAAGAACCCTGAGACGGGAGCTGGCTGCCTTGGGAAGCTGGGCCGTGTGGGGTGACACGGCAGTGGCAACCATGTTGTGACCAGGTAGGAGGAAAGGTGAGCAAAACACCACCTGGGGGAGACAGAAGATGGAGAAGCTGCCAAAGGGCCCCAGGGACTGGCCTGGGCTGTGGCCATGCCGAGGACAGCCATGGCCATGATGGCTCCTTCCTGGTGTCTGGAGATCCCAGGGGCTGGCCTCAGAGGAGTCCCAGAACCAGGCCTGCAGAAGTCACCGGCGCAGACAGTCTCCAGAGGCAGCCACGAGCCTTTCCCTCAATCCTCCGCTCGGGGTTTGTCCTCTGATCTGCGAAACGCTTTGTGCAGCATTATTTTTCTGGGCTGATCCCCGTGGGGACTTGAGCTTAGCTTCTCTTTCACCTTCCTAATGCATCACCCAATCCCCTGGCTGTTCCCTCAGGGTGAGATTTTTCAAAAACAGAAACAAAGAGGCTACAGCACGAGCTGTCTTTAGCCTCTGCCTCTCCTTGGGGGCATTAGTGACACAAATCTGAGGCAGCCGCCTTTGTCCTATTACAGAGCTCATCGAGGCACTAGAAATAGTTGGGTCTGTTGTTCAAAATGGAGCCTCGGTTCTGAGAACAGTAGGAGGAGGAGGAGGAGGAAAGGGAAAACTGACACTGCGCGGAGACAATCCACATGAACCTTGTCCCTCCTGGCCCACGAGATGCAGGAGAAAGCTCTCTGCTGTCGCCCAGCCCACAGGGGATGCTCAGAGCCCCTTGGTGACAGGCTCTGATTTCCAAACCACATATGTCTGGATCCAGAGGGACGGTGGTGAATGAGAGAACAGGGAGGCAGAAGGAGGAGGAGAAGGAGAAAGGACTGCTTTTTGCAGATTTAAGTCCACCTGGGCTCTGCCCATGTGCACTGCCAGTGCAGGGTGGAGGTGGTGGGGATTATGGGATGCCTTCTGGAATGAACTGAGCACTCCAGATGAGCAATAGTTGTAGGCAGCTTGCGATCGTGAACCTGGGCTTTTGATAGTGACTCAGGGGCTCTGATACTCACAAGAGGTAGAACAAGGTGGACTGGACTGTTTTCCTGGAGGAAACCTGAAAGGCCAATGGAAAGGGCCCATTGGGTGGATAAGAGACCCAGAGTTACCGCTGGGTCTGCCTTAAGGGATTCAGTGACCAGGGCACTGCTTCATTCTTGGGCTCAGAATGACTCTTGTTCTTATTCCAATTTCTTTGCAAAAGGAGAAGTAGAGGCCCTGCCTGGGGGGACTGCCCACAGGGATCTTTCTCAGTGTTTGAGTAAAGCAGCATGAGCCCCTTTCCACTGGCCATCAAGGGTCCACCACTGCAGAGCGGACAGACATGCTGGTGTCCAGAAGCAGAATCAAAACAGTGTCCCTCATGTCACCTGCCTCCAGGATTGCCATTCTCCACCACCCTCCCCTTCTCCCGTCTGATTTATGCAGTTAAAAAAAAAATGAAATAAAAATACTTGTTGAGTCAAAGTCAGCAATTACTTGTTGAAGTCAACTGAGGATGTTGAGCATCTATACAGTTTGAGGCCCCAAGTCACATGCAGATAAACAGAACACTCAGTTCCTTCCCCAGTGGATTTGTTGAGAAAAAATGAAACGCTGTCAAAACAATACTAACCCCACAATTATGATCCTGAGATGGAGGAGGAGGAGGAGGCTTCTCCTCTTTATATGCACCTGCTCATAGTTTATCTGTTCTGCCCTCCAGAGCTATAAACAATGCACCTCATTTCATGGAAGAGGAAGCTCAGGGGAGGTAAATCGTCTGCCCCAAATCTTGATGGGCAGTGAGAACCAGAATGGGGACCCCCTCACTGTCTCTTAAACCAAAGCGGTGAGCGCGGCCAGGGCTGCCCTCTCTGCCCCGTTCAGCCCGCCTGCATTGCCGCCCAACCCGGGATTCCCAGCCTGGCAGTTCCTTCTCCCCATTTCTCTACTCAGTGGCACTCAGTCTCTGAGCTGCTCTGGACCAGAAAGGAAGGATGTCCGCAGCCTCCGCGCATCTGTTTATGGGGAACTGGGTCCTCCTGGCATAGGCAGTGACTTGTGAGTCCTCTGGGCCCTCTTGTGCCAGCCGTGTCACTGTCCTCCCTGACACCTTGTTTTAAAGTGCAGGTTGTATTATTACTCAGGTCTGGTGAGGCCAGGGGCTCAATAAACACCGGCACTGAATAGACAATGACATGTCCACAGATCTCCAGAGAAAGGGCACACCATGCCACGGCGGGCCACCCGGGGATGCTGTACAGGTGACTGGGAGGGTAAGGGACAGAGGACACTTGTGGGCTGGAGGCTTTTTGTGTGTGTGTGTGTGTGGTTTCCATAGGAAAGGATGGGTGGTGGGCAGGCTTGGGAGCAGCTACTTTGAATCATTTCGGCAGACTCTGAAGCACAGGGTTGTCCTTAGTCGTCTGATCCCTGACCCTGGGGCAATTAGGGCAGAGAAATAGTGGACCCAAGAGTACAGGAGGTGGCTGGTGGTATATGCTCTGAAGTGGCCGGAAGGTGTGCTGACGGGTGAGTTATTATTCCTAGGACCTGGCTAACTGGAGGGGGGAGTCAGAACACAGAAAACTAAAGACCTAGTTAACACACACTTGCTGCCATCCCTGGCTTGTTTCCTTTCTTTTCTCCGCCCTCCTGGCACCCTAGAATAAAATCATGCTCCATTCCAACTCCCACCGCCATCTGCACCTCCTCATCGTCTCTCTGCTCTTCGCGGTCCTAGGCCAGGGTCTGGGGGTGCCAGCCCCGCTCTTTCGCAGCTAGGATTCCATCACCCCTCCTCTTGCGACCTGCCCCAGGCAGGGCATCTAACTCACTTCAGTGTGCACTGGGATCCCAGGACATCCTCATACTAAAAAGTCTATTTCCTTTGAGCCAGTGTCCCCAGGGAGGAAATAAAGGGGTGAGGGACACCCGTCTCTGTGTTAGAGAAGTCAAAACGGAGTCATCAGAGCAGGGATCACCTCACCTCTGCTGGGCTGGTTATTAATGCGCAGAATTCTTATCCATTCATTAGCGTGGTGGTGAGCACTGTCTAGTGACAGGTTAATTACACAGTTCTGGGTAATTAGAAAGTAAATATATGTTAAGAGGACACCACTGTCAAGATAAAAACGTCTAGTGGAAGGCCTTCTCGCGTGGCAAATTCTACCTTCATCTTTCAACCTGAAGGAATTTTTTTTTTCATTGTTGCTTTGAGGAAAATCTCCTCTGCTCTTCCCTGTAGCTGAGATTTATTTAGTTCTGGCTCTTCCTACCCTCCTTCCCCCACCCCTTGGGTAATACACGTCGCTGGTCCAATTTGGAACTCAGCTTCTATTCTGGGTAAATGTCTCCAGTGTCAGGTTCCTTGAATGTGAGGATTTTTGCTGTTGTGTAGCTCAGAAAGGTCTGGGAGACATCTCTGAATTCTCTGGGACCAGATGAGGTGAAGGGCAGTGGGACAGGAAAGGAGAGCGCATTTGAGCAAAAATCCCACTTCTATTGCCACATAGATGCATGACAATGAGGGCCCCCCCAGACTGTTTCTATGGGAAATGTTAATACTAATGAACCAGAGTGACCCCCTAGAGAGAAAAGATCCATTTACTCACTAATCCTACCCTAAGGTCAGTACAGAGTGGTCTTTGCAGGGGCTCGATGCTTTCTTTATTGGAAGTGAGCTGTCTTCCAGCAGCTGGGACCTGGGATAATGACCTCATAGGACAGAGCTATGGTAAGATGGGACACTGGCACACACCTGTAATCTCAGTGGCTGGGGAAGCTAAGGCAGGAGAATCAGAAGTTCAAAACCAGCCTCAGCGACTTAGCCAGGTCTTCAGCAAATTAGTGAGACCCTATCTCTAAATAAAAAAGAAAAAGGCTGGACACACACATGGAGCTGGAAGGACAAACCCTGTAGCTCCTTTGGCTTCGGCTTCTGTCAGCAGAGCCTGACAGAGCTCAGGAGCTCACTGTCCACCCCCAACACCTCCCTCCCTTTGGGACTGTCCTCCCCGCCTCACCTGCCTGAGTGTCATCAGGGGCCTTTCCAAATGCGAACTGATGCCCTCCTAAGTAGCCTGGCTTCCTGGTGACATCTCCTGACATGACATTAACGGGGAAAACAGCAAAATGCATCCCCTGGGCCTTGGAACATTGATTTCTTGTTTAGGCCCTTAGCTAAGCATCAACAACAGACGTGGCAGGTTTGATTAGGTCTCTCCATGGCGGGGTTCACTGGAGGAAGGAGAAAGTGATCAGATTTGAAGGAACCAGGGAGATGGGAATAGAGTGGTTCCCTTTCTTAACTCACAGTGGTTTTGTGTTCATTTGTTTGTTTGTTTTGGGTACCGGGGATTGAACCCAGGGGCGTTTAACCACCGAGCCATATCCTCAGCCTGTTGTGTTTTGAGACAGGGTCTGGCCACATTGCTGAGGGCCTTGCTAAGTTGCTGAAGCTGGCCTTGAGCTTGTGATCCTCCTGCCTCATCCTCCCAAGTGACTGGATTGCAGGTGTACCCCACCATGCCTAGTGCAAATCCTAGTTTTGAAACTCAAGTGGGAGGCGAGTGTAATGAGGGGATCCAGGGCTACAAGGACGGGGGGAGGTGGGGCGGGTAGCTATTTCTTTTCTCCTTTCCCCACTGGAAAGCAGCAAGGTGCAAGGCCTTTGCTTTTGAATTCAGATTCAAATGACATTTGGATTCTGGGAAAGCTCATCTAGGACCTAGAAAGCCCCATTCCCCAAAGAAGAGCCCTATCTCCCCCTCCCCCCACCAAGGGAAATGATTAAAATATATCCCTCTGGCATTCTCCCCAGACTTTGTTGATTTTATGCTTTGATGCAGGCATCAGGCTTATATTAACCTCCAGCCTTGGAATGGATCATTTGTAGCAGGCCAGCACTGACTTACCACCCCCACAACAAAAAACAAACAAACAAACAAACAAAAACCATTGCTTTAAGAAAAGAAACCATGAGGACTAAGAAATACCCGCTGGTGCCTCCACCCAATTAAAAGTTTTTCTGTAGTTTGGTAGAATTCAGCTGATT